GTGGCCATCTCCATCTCCACCGTGTCACCCAGCCGCTGGCACTGAGAGGCCGGGGTCAAACCAGGCACATCGGCAAGTTGGGGACACCCCTGTCCCCTCCCTGGGTCACCCGTGGGTGTCCATCCCTACCTGGTTGTCCACCCTGAGCTCGCTCAGGGTGGTGTTGTGGTACATGGCCTTGATGACGCTCATCATGCCGACGCTGGTGATGAAGTTGGATTCGATGTTGAGGCTCTGCAGGGTCTTGTTCTCCATCAGCATCTCGGCTACGGCCTGTGTGTCACCTCAGGGTGTCACCTCGGGGTGTCCCCCAGGGCTGGCACCCACCCCTCTGGCATGTCCTGGGCCACCAATGCCCCGGGTGATGGTGGAAAAGCCACCGTCACCTGGCCTTGCTGGTGCCCAGGACGGAGCCTGGGGCAGGGGACCGTGTCCCTTCCCTGTCTGGGGACATGTGGGGACATGGGGGACGCGGGACTGGGACTCACGCTGGCCACGGGGTCGTTGCTGCGAGTGGCTACCAGGCTGAGCTTCTTGACGTGCGTGTTGGTTTTCATGGCCTCGCAGATGGCCTTCAGCGTGGAGATGGGAATGTCCTGCGGCAAGGGGATGTGGGTGTCACCCAAGGGGATGGGGACATCCTCGGGGATGCAGGATGTCACCACGGGGGTGTAAGTGGCGTCGAGGGGGTGCAGATGTCTCCAAGGGTGCAGAGGCATCGCTGAGAGGGTGCTGGATGTCACCCAAGTGATGTAAGTGGCACAGAGGGGATGTGGGATGTCACCAAAGGGACGTGGATACCCCCAGATGAGGACAAGCACCCTGGGGACACGCTGGGGACAGTGCCACCAGGTCCTTCACCTTGATGTTGTTGAGGTTGACGTCCTCCAGAGCCCCGTCGTTGGCCTGGATCTGCCGCAGCGTCTCCTCCACGTTGGTGGGATTCGGGGGCTCATCTGGCACTGGCTTGTACTTGTCGGGCTTCACCACGCCTGGGGCACACGTGTGTGCGCGGGGGACACACGTGACCACGCACGGGGGCATGGACACACGTGTTTGCACACGT